CAGCCACACAAAGGTAGCAGGGTTCTGCCCCGCCCAGGGACCAGCTCCTGGCGCCTAGTGCCTGGTACCCAGTCCTGCCTCCTTCTTCCCCAGCAAGGGAGAGATCTACAAATGGCCACAGCCATACTTGGGAGGGGAACCGGCTGGGGCATTTCCAGTGTGCGCCAGCCACAGTCCTGCAAGTCTCCGGTTTCATCAAAGTCCTGGCTACTCTGCTGGAGACAACTGCTTTGGGGACCTGGAGGCAGATACCAGTGTTTGAATCCCTAAAGATCAGTATACAGAGTAAGGCGTAGTAGTGAAGACGGCTCTCGCTTTCCCAGGCAGGGGCCTCGGCACGTTAATTTACTAGATATTATCCATTATCCGGTGCTTTCTGTGCAATAGCTAATGGGTGAGGACTGGGGGACAATCTCTGAAAGAGACTCAACACAGTCTTAGAACAGTAAGATATTGCTTGTTAGGACTTGTTAGCAATAGGCAGAGAAGGCCACAGAGGAAGCAGTTGAATACAGGGCCATGAGATGTGGAGGGAGGCTAGCTATGCGTCCACAGGCTAGTTCCCCCTAACGTGCTGCACAATGGCCCCCTCCCAGGCTGGCACACCTTGGTTATGTCATTCCCAGCCATGCACCTACCTACTCTTCACCTCACAGCTTGGCTCGTCTTACCCAGTCACCCTGTGAAAACCCAAAGTGTGCCACTGGACAGATTCAGTCAACATCTGTCCATTTCTTCACTCCCATTCATTCGTCTATTTTTCTTTTTATGGGACAGGGAGGCTTTGAGACGTCTACTATGCAGTGCCAACAGGGCATCAGGGGCTGGGGTCCAAGCCCAGGCGCAGCTGTTAGTGTGCTGTGTGACCTTGGGTAACTCACTCGGTCTCTCTGACTTCATTTCTCCCCCTCATCTGTAACCCTGAGAGGGCTGGGCTAGTGGGAGTCTAAGACCTTTGTGGCCCTAACACATCTGTTACCTCTTCTAGGATAAGGGCTGGTAGGAACAAAGATTAAACCCGATAAATCCAAGAGCAGTGTTTAAGAGCCCTAGCTGCCTGGATTCGAAGCCCAGCTGGACCATCTAAATATGGGGCTTAACCTCTCTGCGCTTCACTCTCTACATCTACAAAAGGAGGGGAATAATAACAACCTTAAAGGCTGGTTGTGAGGACTTGAGATACTGTGTGCAAAACAGATGCCCAGGGAGTAGTAGTTGCCATTGTTATGGTACCAGTGCAGAGAGAAAAGCCTGTCCTCTCTTTTCTCTGCTTCCTCATGACAGAACTAGTGACTTGACCCCAGGGTAGAAGGACTAGGGTCTTGTGTATTGTGGCTAATAGCTGTTCCTTTAGAAAGGTCTTGTGTCAGGTGGGGAAAATCATGGTTTCCAGACCCAGTTGAACCTTAGTTCAGAGCCGAGCTTTGCCTCTTACTAGCTCTGTGACCTTCTACAAATTACTTAACCACATTGAGATTAACTCCCCCATCTGTCAAAGGGGTGCCTGGGCACCAATCAAAGGAGCCCCATAATAGTACCTACCCTCATAGAGTGGCTAGGAGTATAAAAGGCATGGAACGTGCTTAACTCAGTTTTTCGCATACAGAAGACCTGGTCAGTGTAGGAAAGACCTAGAGAACAAGAAGGGAAGACCCTACACTGAGATTCCCAGGCATCCTGCACCGAGTGTCCTGTGAAGAAACAGAGTTGTGGGTATTCTAGCCCAGACTGAGAGCTGTTTCAGCTCTCCAAACCCTTCACCAAGGTGCCAACCACACAAAATCTGTGCAACCAGCCTCCCTAGATGAACCTGACTCTGGACATGCCCTCTGGTGGGAGTTGAAGCCAGAATGGAAGGCTGGAAGCAGGTCTTCAAACGCCTCCAAGACAAGGCTCAGAAGTTTGGACTTGGGCCAAAGGGAGCCATGGAACGTTTTTGAGCAGAAGCAAGGGGTAAGGCTGATTAAGATCACACCCAAGACCTGGAAGGCATCAAGGATGTTCCCACAAAAGGGGAGAAAGGAAGACCCAGGAAAATGCCATGTGGGCTGCACAGTGATACAATCAAAGAGATGACCCCAATGTCCAAACCAATTGAACACCAGTCTCCTAGATGAGTGTCAAGCCGGTATCAGGTACTCAGTAAAGGTGGATAGAAATGAATAGCTGAGACTTTGTGGATTTAGGAGGCTTTTGAAGGAGAGGCGCTTCTAGCCCGTGGGTGCTGAGAACATTTTTCATGCTCTTATGTGGATTGAGGTAGGTACTCTCTGAAAAACAATAACTGTCATGCTATTGTCTTTATGTCTGCTTTGTCAACCTCCAGTGGCTTGTCTGAGAACATAATCCAGAACAACAGCAAAGAAACCAAAGGCCTCTGAGCAACCCAGACAGTTGGGTTTGGAACTGTCAAACTGTCAACACTGGGTGCTTTCTGCGCAGAAGAGCATCTTACATCTTCAATGAGAGCCCACCTACATTTATTCTGCACACAATTTCAACAGATCCGGTGTAGCAGAGACTGCCAAGGGCTTCCTTATAATCTGTCCTTCCTACTTCCTTTTAGCACTAGAGCTTCCAAGATTAAAACTTGGATTCATGGCTTCCCTGCCAGAGACTACATATCCCAGCCTCCCTTGCTGCCAGGAGCAGCTATGGGACTAAGTTCTAGCCAATAGGATATGAGTGAATGTGATGTGTTTCACTTCTGGGCCACATTCTCAAAAGGAGGCTGCCTGTTCCCTGCTCCCTCTTTCCCCTTGTGTAGACTGGGCAATGGGCATGGGGATAGAGGTAGGGGGCAGCTTTGATGAAGCTGACAAGGACAAGACCCCAGGGTTGGCCAGTCAACAAGACATTAAGAACCTATTTCGTGATAACCTGGAGAAGAGCCCTGGACTGCTGACCATGTCAGTCTCTGTGACAGCTGAACCAATAGCCTAACTGATAAACCTAGTTTCCTGATTTTTAAGCCCACAGCAGAAGGGCAGGAAGAAGAAAGGACTCATAAAAAAGCAAGCACAGTGAAATCAAGAGTAAGAGGAGCTAGAACAAATGTGACACAAAGTCATTTAGCTCAGGGTCGCTCCAAGAGGCTTGGGGACATCACTGTATTATAGGGTAATGTTGGAAATGTGCTGAATCCTTAGAGAAGATTAATTCCAAGCAAATATTTTCTTTTAAAATGAAAGCAATGATCTACTTAGAAAGTATTTATTTTTTTAATGTTTATTTATTTTTGAGAGAAAAAGCAGGGGAGGGGCGAGAGAGGGGGACAGAGGATTCTAAGTGGACTCCACGCTTGACAGCAAAGAGCCTAATGCAGGGTTCAAACTCACAAACCAGGAGATCACAACCTGAGCCGAAGTCAGATGCTTAACCAACTGAGCCACCCAGGTGCCCCTAGGAAGTGTTTTTAATAAAAATGGTTAACATAAAATAAAACATATATGCTTAAGGGTTGAAACCTTTAGCATCCAGAAAATTCAGCTATCTAAAATGATAATTTTCAGGGCGCCTGGGTGGCTCAGTCAGTTAAGGATCGACTTCAGCTCAGATCATGATCTCATGGTTCGTGGGTTCGAGCCCCGCATTGGGCTCTGTGCTGACAGCTCAGAACCTGGAGCCTGCTTCAGGTTCTGTGTCTCTCCGTCTCTCTGTGCCTCCCCAACTCATGCTCTGTCTGTCTCTCTCAAAAATAAACAAACATTTAAAAAATTAAAAACCAAATAATAAAATAAAATGATGATTTTCTTCCAGAGTCAGGAAGCAGGGATTTTGATTTATTGGTATTTACCTTCTCTCCCACTAGCTTATAGGTCAGATTATATCCCTTTTTTTCTTTTTATTCCTATTATCTAGCACAGTGCCCTGACTCAATAAATACTTCTTAATGGCAATGGGGGTGAAGTCTGTGTTATTTTAGATCCGGGAACTTAGGAAGGTCTTACGGATTTGGATTATTAATCAGTGAAATTGCCTGAGGTCCTTGACCACTCCAGTGAAGGGGTGCAAGGGCACAGCCCTCACCAAAGTGCCGTGAGCTCATGGTGGCCCTGGGACCTCCCACTGTTGTCTAGAGACCATTGCATCAGAAATAGTCCCCTGAGCTCCTAAAGGCCTCCCTGCACAAGGATGTCAATGGGAGAATTGAATGTAATTGCTAAACACAAACACAACTGTACACAGCCTACACAACTGTCCATGGCCTTTCTGCACTGCCTAGATGAGATGTCTAGGAAAACTCGAAATGACAGGCAAAAGGTGGGAGACCCAGGAAAGAGTCAGCTAGGTGTGCTCACTGCCTATTTTTCATTAGTTTGACTACTGGTTTTAAGCCTCAAGGCAGGAGAAGCTCCACTAGAGTTCCCATCCCCCCAGGTCTGGTGTGAGTTTAAGACTGCTGGGTGCTAGATAAGGCTTCAAGGGAGTAAGCAGGGGAGGGGGGGTATGGGTCCAGAGGTGATGGGCATGAGACTCCACGGATTTTGCTATAGGACCCAGAATGCAAACTCGTTTTAAGGCAGAGCCACATCATTATTCATACTTTAAGTGACAATTGAGATACCCTAGTGTATCCCCTGTCCCCAAGGACCAAACCAAAGCTCTCCAAAAATGTGAATCCATTTTTGGAGCTTGGGTTTCTTTCACACACTCTAACCTGCTTTTCTGAACAGAAAGGAATTTGATTTCCTGTGCAGAAGGCAGGGGAGCAACGTATTGGGGTGGAAAACTATTTTCCCAGTGTCTTCCATCTAACCAGACATGAGGTTGTAGATTTAAAGATAGAATAAGGTCTCGGACTTAAGTCCAGAAACATAGTAAAGACCCCTCATTGGAAGCAGGCATTCCCCAGGTTGGTGGGGCCAGAATAGAGAAGCCAGGGCCCAATAACAATTTGTGCTCCATGGCAGAGAATCTAGGCCTCCCCTCTGCTGCCATAGCCTGGCCTCCCTGCCCCCCGCCCCTTACCCTTGGCCTCAGGCTGGAGCCCTACTCACCAACACCCCATCAGGTAGTTGCTCTTAGCTAGTGGTAGCCTCTTTTACTAGTATTTCTCTCCGGGAAGAGGAGCAATTCATGACAGGTGGAAGGTCACTTTCATCCACCGCCAACAGCCACTACCAATTATCAATATTAGAAACTTCTGGTGAGCCAGGTCAGAGGCAGGTGTTGATGACATCACAAAGGAAACACCTCTGTTGTGCTGGAACACTGGAGGCATTTGAGAGGGAGGGTTCTCTAGAATTGAGACAAACTTGAGCATGACCAGTCAGATCTGAATGTTTGAAGCCTGTGCAGATTCACCTCAATTCTGTCTTGAGTCTAGTGCCCTGCAAAATTAAGTCGATAAGAATACGTGAGTCTTCATGTTGGTATTAAGGCTAAAGACCATCCAGGTGGATCCTTGCACGATGGAAATATGGTTTTCCTATTTTACTGGGCTACAGAGAGAGGATCCCTTCTTCATTTCGAGGCTCTTGAAATCAACTCTGTTATATTCATTCCACTGGGAGCTGGCATCTGTTTCAGTATAAGAGCCCCCCTTTTTTTTTGTTTTATAGCCTTTATTAACTTCATGAAACAGAATACACATACAAAAAACATATATATATATATATAAACTACAAATGAGCACTATAATGAATAATCATAAAGCAAAGTTGTGTAACCACTACCCAAGTCAAGAAATGCAACATTATCACAAGACATTTCCCCGTGTTGCTTCCCAAACACACTCCTTCCTCCTCTATCAGACTTCCATACAGAGATAACCCTATCCTGACCTTAATGGTAATCCTGTCTTCTTTTTCTTTACACTTTTTCCATCTCCAGTCTATATAGTTTGGTTTTGTCTGGTGGTTGTTGTTTTTTTAACTTTATTTTGAGAGAGACAGGGAGAGTGCAAGTGGGGAAGGGCAGAGAGCAAAGGAGAATCCCAAACGGGCTTGAAATGCTTATCAGCTGTCAGTGCAAATCCAGGACACAGGGCTCCAACCCACAAAACCGTGAGATCATCACCTGAGCCAAAATCAAGAGTCCAAAGCTTAGCCAACTGAGCTACTCAGGTGCCCTCGTTTGGTCTGTTTTTTAAGTGAACATTAATGGAATCAGAGTCTCTATACACTTTAATTGGGCTTCTCTCACTCAACATATCTCTTAAGATTCATCCGTGTTTTAGCATAGCAGTTGTAGTTTATTCATTATTATTACTGTATAGTATGCACTGAGCTCTCACATTTGGCTGACGTTCTATCTCTGTGCAAGCAGAAAGTAAAAGGTAAGGCAGAGTTATAAACTGCCTGGCTGAGTTTTGAGCAATGTATTGGGGTAGAAAACTATTTTCCTAGTGTCTTCCATCTAACCAGACATGACGTTGTAGATTTCAAGATAGAATAAAGTCTCAGACTTAAGTCCAGAAACATAACAAAGACCCCTCATTGGAAGCAGGCATTCCCCAGGTTGGTGGGGCCAGAGGCCATCTTCAAAGACTGAGAGATGTTTTTTCTTGTTGTTGTTATTCCAGATGTTTAAATAAATCTCCATCAAATCACTAGCTGACCACAAAGCTAATGGAATAGAGATTTCAATGGCCATGTACATCAAAAAGTATAGATTTTCAAAATTAGTTCAGAAAAGACATTAGGCAAACTTCTGCATCAACCAGGAGCAACACAACCTTGGAGAAGAGAAAGACTCTACTTCCCAGATGTCATATTATAGTATTCAAAATGTCTAGCTTTCAACCAAAAAATTATGAGGCATGAAAAGAAGCAAAAAGGTATGAGACACCTGGGTGGCTCAGTTGGTTAAGCATTCGACTTTGGCTCAGGTCATGATCTTATAGTTTTGTGGGTTGGAACCCTATGTCGGGCTCTGCAGAATGCTCAGAGCCTGGAGCCTGCTTCAGATTCTGTGTCTCCCTCTCTCTATATCCCTCCATGACTCGTGTTCTGCCTCTCAAAAATAAATAAACATTTTAAAAAATTAAAAGAGAAAGAAACATAAAGGTATAGCCCACATACAAAAAAAGAAATGATTAATAAAAATAGTTGTTGAGGAAGCCCAGACATGGGACTTCCTTAAAAAGGTTTTAAGCCAGCCTAGTAAAATATGCTCAAAAAGTTAAAGGAAGCCATGAGAATGATGTCTCACCAAATAAAGAGATAGAAATTATAAAAAAGAGAAAAAAGATTTTTTAAGATCCAAATAGAGATTCTGGAGTTGAAAAATACAATAACTGAAATGAAAAATTCACTAGGCAGGCTCAGCAGCAGATATGAGTAGACAAAAGAAAGAATCAGCAAACCTAAAGATAGGTCAACTGAGATTATCTAGTCTGGGTCGAATAAAGAAAAATGAATAGGGGCACCTGGGTGGCTCAGTCAGTTGAGCATCTGACTCTTGATTTTGGCTCAGGTCATGATCAGGTTTGTGGGACTAAGCCCCACATCGGGCTCTGTGCTAGCATGGAGCCTGCTTTAGATTCTCTCTCTCTCCCTTTCCCCCCCTCCCTTGCTCATGCTCTCTCTCTCTCTAAAATTTAAAAAAAAGAAAAATGAATAGACCCGAAGAGATTTGCAGGACACAATCAAGAATACCAATGTGTGCATAATGGGAGAACCAGAAAAAAGGGGAGGAGTGTGTAGAAAGAAAATTTGGAGAGATAATGGCCCCATACTTCTCAAATTTGATGAAAAACCATCTACACATCCAAGAAATTCAGTGAAGTGCAGATAGAATGAACTCAAAGAGATCCACATCAAGGCATATTATAATTAAACTGTTGAAAGACAAAGAATTTTGAAAACAGCAAGAGAGAAGCAGCACATTGTGTACAAAGAATGCTTGAGAAGATTAATAGCTGATTTATTGTTGGAAACCATGGAAGCCAGAAGGCAGTGGGGATAACATATTCACAGTGCTGAAAGAAAAGAACCGTCAATCAATAGATTTTCTATCCAGCAAAATTATCCGTCAAGAATGAAAAAGAAATAAGACATTTCCAATAAACAAAAACTAATATAGGTCACCACTAGCAGACCTGCCCTTTAAGAAATGCTAAAGGGAATCCTTCAGGATGAAATGGAAGGACAGTAGACAGTAATTTGTTTTCACATGAAGAAACAAAAAACACTGGTAAAGGTAACTGCACAGGTGGGGCTCCTGGGTGGCTCAGTTGGTTAAGCGTCCGACTTCAGCCCAGGTCAGATCTCATGGTTCATGAGTTCGAGCCCCGCATCAGGCTCTGTGCTGACAGCTCAGAACCTGGAGCCTGTTTCAGATTCTGTGTCTCCCTCTCTCTCTGCCCCTCCTCCACTCATGCTCTGTCTCTCTCTGTCTCAAAAATAAATAAACTATAAAAATAAAAAAGGTAACTGCACAGGTAAATATAAAAGTCAGTATTAAGGTGTCATTGGTTTAAGTAGCTCCTTTCTTTCCTGTATGATTTAAAAGACAACTGCATAAAACAAAAATTATAAATCTATGTCAATAGGTGCATAACATATAAAGATGTAATTTGTTACAATAGCAACATAAAAGTGGGTACAGAGCTATATGGAGCAAAGTTTTTGCATACTGTTGAAACTAATCTGAACTTGATTGTTCTAAATTAAGATGCTAATTTTAATCCTCAGAGCAATCACTAAGAAAATAACTCAAAAATATATAATAATAAAAGTGACAAAGAAATTAAAATGATACAGTAGAAAATAAATGTCTATTTAACACAAAAAAATGGTAATGGAGAAAGTAAACACATGCATGCATTCTCTCTCTCTCTCAAAAGTAAATATTTTTAAAAAATAAAAAGAAATATCCATGTATAAGCTTACAAGTGACTCACTTTAGATTCAAAAACACAAAGAAGTTCAAATTAAAAGGATGAAAAAAGATATTCCCTGCAAACAGTAACCAAAGGGAGCTGTAGTAGCTATACTAATATCAGAAAAAAATAGACTTTAAGACAAAATTGTTACAAGAGATGAAGAATGACATTATATAATAATGAAAGTAGAAATTATATATATAATAATATAAAAGGTCACTCTCTCAAGAAGATATAAAAGTTGTAAACATATATGCACCTAGCAACAGAATCCCCAAAATATATGAAGCAAAAACTGACAAGATTGGGGGAAGTAAACAGTTTGACAATAATGCCAATTTTGATAGTGGCTATAGCAACTAGATGCAGGTCAGGGAGGGCGGATACAGTAGACTTGACCAATGCTATAAGCAAACTAGACCTAAGAGACAACTATGGAACACTCCACCCAACAACAGTAGAATGTACATTCTTCTCAAGTGCACATGCAACATTCTCCAGTATAGGCCAAGTTAGGCCACAAAACAAGTGTCAATAAATTTAAAAAGATTGAAATTATGCAAAACATGTTTCCCTGATTATAGTGGAATAAAATCACAGAAATCAATAACAGAAAGAAATCTGAAAAACTCAAAAACATGGAAATTAAACAATACACATTTAAATAACCAATGGGTCAAATAAGAAATTTCAAGGGAAATTGGAAAATGCTTTGAGATTAATAAAAATGAAAATACAACTACTATAACATATAAGATGTGGTGAAATCAATGCTCAAAGGGAAATTTGTACTTGTAAGTGCCTCCATTAAGAAACGAAAAGATTTTGGGGCATCTGAGTGGCTCAGTCGGTTAAGCGTCTGACTTTGGCTCAGGTCATGATCTCATGGTTTGTGGGTTCGAGCCCCGTGTCAGGCTCTGTGCTGATTGCCAACTCAGAGCCTGGAGCCTGTTTCATATTCTGTATCTCCCTCTCTCTCTGCCCCTCCCCTGTTCACGCTGTCTATCTCTCTCTCTCTCAGAAATAAATAAAACATTTAAAAATTAAAAAAAAAGAAGAGATCTCTAACTAATAACCTATACTTCTAATCTGAACTCAAAGAAAGTATAAAGAAGAGAACAATAAAGACTGGAGTGGAGATAAATGAAATAGAGAGTAGAAAATCAACAAAACCAAACAATAGTGCTAGAAAAATGATCAATAAAGTTGACAAAC